TAGAAACCAGGCACTTGGAAGAGTTTAATTGGACATTTGTCATATGTACAAAGTTCACTACCTAGAAACAGTCATGTCCTATTTATTCGCCTCTCTGTTATTTATTTTTACAAACAATTATTACACCAATAACAGCAAAAAAAGGAAAACAAGACAAAAACAAATTATCATCCTTTCCCAGCCCACCCTAATAAACAAGGATTCCCTGCATAAATGTTTAATGCTCCATCCAAGAAGGGGCAAGAACGTTAGGGTGGGGACGGCAACGTGAACCGCAGAAAGAGCACAGAGTTCTCAAAGTGAACAATGAGACAGGTAATATCTTTTTTTTTTCTTTCACAATAACCTCAACCCAGAAAATAAAGTCCTCTCATTGTATTCAGATGCTGTGAGGGTTGAGACCCAGAAAAAATGTCAGCGCGATTATTTGAGTCCCATTCCAGATGGGACGTGCAAATCTTCGTCCGCTGTCGGCATCATCGGAAAAAAGTTCAAACGTGAGAAGGGGGGAAAAAAAGAAGAAGAAAAAAACCAAACAAGAAGCTGCTGAGTAAAAAAATGTGTGCAGATGAACAGCGTGGGGCAGGGCGATGGCACACTTTCCACGGGGGACGGGGGGTGGTCACACTACAACGGAATTCAACGGCACTGACAAGAGCATGCGGCGTGCTCCCCCTGATTGGCCGAAACTATGCGTTATAGCTCCTCCTTCCTCCAGTGGCCCTAGACAACTGTCGGTTCCTGTCAGCTCCGTCCTTCTCGACATCACTGCGACGACCAGCATGACGATTGTCTGAAGCAAAAGTCAGCGACGAAGCAAAATTAAAAACACACGCCGGTACAACTCCAAAGTTTTTCAGTTAAATAAAGATGTGCAACAAAGGAAAGTTGTTTTTCGTCATCCGGGTTAAGATGAAGTGTCCTTGAGACGGTGGCAAAGTCGGTGTTGATGCTAGAGTCAGTTCACAGTATGGCAAGACTCCTTCCTCCTCCTCATCTTCTTCCTTCCATCCCCTCTATCTCTCATCCTTCAGGAGCTCTTCAGTGTGCAGGTTCTGTGTTACGCAGACGAGCTGGAGTTCTGTGCAGAGGGGAGGACTTGTGTAGTTCCGACCGGGACTGGGGGCTGGGCGGCGCTTGTCGGGGAGCAGTCGGTCTGGACCTGTGCCTGGAACTGGGCCATCTGCTCGGGGCTGGCCAGGTTTTTGAGCAGGTTATTCTCCTGCTCCAGTTGAGTGTTGCGCTCGATCAGCTCCTTGATCTGCTCCTTCAGCACCTCCACCTCCTCGCGCACAGCGTACATAAGGTGGCTTTTCACCAGGTCCTGTAAACGAAGGGAAGGGGGGGGGACAAAGAGCGAGAGATGGTTAGCTAAATAATTAATCAGATTCCTTCGTCTACATTTCCCCTGAGAGGAAAGAAAACATCTTGTTCAAACTACATTTCTGGTTTAAACCAGTCTGCTTGTTACAAAACAAAAAATAAAACACATGCTAAAATATGCTACTTTGCAACAACTTTTCTATAGTCACCGAGACAATAAGTCATGTTATTGATCGGCAAATATTTTGACAATTGATTATTCTGAGTAAAAATGCAAAATATGTTCTCCTTCAATGTAAAAATATTAAATTGAATATTTCTGGTACTGGACTTTTACTCAGACTAAGAAAAGTAATCTGGAGTGGTCGCTTTGGGCTTTATCCTCCATTATTTTCCACTGTAGTCTAAATGAATGAATTGATCAAGACAATACTAATAAATAATAAAATACATTAATCAACACATAATATTTAATGAGACAGATTGTTAGTTGCAGATGTAATCACTTCTGATTCACGCTTGTTTCTCAACTTCCTAAAGCATTCTCATTTCTTTATTTACTCAGTTTATAAATTTACAGACTACTACTTCAACATTAACTAAGCTGACTGGAGGACTCGGAAACAAGCTTGTATGGGAAAATGTGTGACAGCAGAGTTCAAAGGTTGAACTAGCATCATAAATCACTTTCACGGCCTTGCACAGCACATCAGCGGTCTCGGTGTGTGAAGATGAAACCATGAACTCCTCAGAAATACGGTTTGTGATGATAGTGGTGGTGGTGGTGATGATGTTGTGTTGTGCCAGGTTGCTGCTGCAGAAAGTGGGATTTGTGTTTTATAATCCCACCATCCCCTCCTCTGCAGACCCGCCCCTCCTTCCTCACTCCTCCTCCCTCTCCCATGTCCCGGGAACAAATTGTTCCTGCATCGGGGTGGGAGGAGCCAATGGAAGGCAGAGTTATTTATACCGAGCCAAGGGGAGGCTGCTGCTTGCCTAGCAACACGGGACAGGGGGAGGGAGGGAGAGAGGGTAAGGGATGATACATGCTTATGAGGGAGAGAGAAGGAGGGAGGGATGGCGTGTGAACCTTAGCCTGGCCCGCATCAAGTTGCCAACAAGCCGGAGGTCATCTGTCCAAATTGTGACAGAGCAGGAAGCTCCTGTTGCCTCTGTGCATACCAGCAGGTGCATATGTGCAGGAAAACATCAGTGTTTTTGTAACGCAAAAAAAAAGACGTACAGGACACAGAAGAGCACCATCATGCCTTCCTTCCATTCATTCATTCATTCATTCATTCATTCCAAGCTGCTTTATGCTCCATGTATTTATTACCTTCACAATCAATCCTCTGATAAATCAACAATGACAGGCGATTTTAATGGTACAAAATAAAAGCTGGATGGGTACGATGTAGGAGTTGGTGCATGGGTTACATAAAACTGGCACATTCAGAATGTGATCAGGCTTTTTTGTATGTATAAATAAATATATATATATATATATATATATATATATATATATATATATATATATACACAATGCGGGTAAATATGACTGATTAAAAGAGGATGAAAAACAGCTTACCATTGCTTGTTCGATCTTGTTGTCAATGGCCACCACACTTGCACCAGAAGAGCTGAAGGGCAAGAAGAGAAAAATATATATACATTAGTGATTTGTTGGATGATTTTGGTGTAACATCAGCAGAGCACTGCAGTGTGTGATGGAAATGTCTCCATCAAGGGCAAACTGCCAAATGCAGGGATGTGAGATCTATCATGTCAATAAAATTAATTATCAGGATTACTGTCTGCAACAAAGAGGAGCAGATGGAGGTTGCAGGTTTTCTGCTGGTGGAGAATCAATGAGGCAACACGCACGACATGTTTCATTGTGAATCCTGTGAGCAACAAAGCCTCCTGACTTGAATATTACCTCTTGTCGACCCTGACTGACGCGCTCTCCTTCCCCAGCACCGAGGACAGAAACGAAATCGAGAAATTCCTCAGCTGACAAACGCCAAGGTCCATCGCCACTGTGTAACACTGGGGATTCATGCTACCCCGTCCATTAAAACCCCATCGGCGGCACAGAGAGGGAGTCCGGCGGTATAAAAGTAGAAAAACTGCGCATTCTAGTGTATTGGAGGACGGGCTGCTGCTGGGTCTGCTCACCGGAGCGACCGCGGAGCTTGCAGCCGGAGGACGGGGCACACAAAGACTGAAGGCGGCGGGCTGCGGCTCCACAAACAGCGGCTCCCTCCCTGGATGATGCGTGCGGGGAAAACAGCGCCAGCGGCCGCTCGATTGGCCGAGAAAGGGAGCTCATTAGCATAATGCGTGGTCGAAACTGGAGCTGCCGCGACGCTCATTGGCGGAGAGGTGGCTGATGGGAATAATTTATGCAGCATCGCTCTACCTGCTGCAACGATTTCTATAAAAGCCCGCATCCAACTGAAATACACAATCTAATGGAGGAACAGCAACGCGCAGGCATTAAGTCAACAATAAATGACAAAGCAAGTTTAGCTTCGATTCAGTGTTTGGTTGATCAGGTGGAAATGTGGACTGTAGGTGATGGGAAAACTTTCCTCAGCAGTCACAAGCTGTCATGTGAAGCAATGTCTCCACCTATTGGTTGTAACCCATTTCTAAAAAGTCACACAAGATGCAAAACTGCCTCTAACGCAGGCTTTATGTAATTTGAGAGAACATGATCAATTGCCCAGGGCCTGACCCAAGCGGAGGAGCTGACCTCCGCACTGGCCAGCTGTCACTCGAGAAGGTAAATAACACCGGAGGGTCAATAAGAGGGGATGGATGGTGGAAACGGCGGAGGCTGAGCTCAGATCAGTTTGGGAACACACTGTGCTTTACAGGAGAACAGGACCACCGATCACTTCTCACGAGGCGTTGCTGCAAAGGATTCATGAGCTGTCTCTGGTTTGCTGTTTTTGACAGAAAATCAATCGCAATATTTATAACTCACTTATTTAAAAAAAATCAACAGTATTTGTGCAGGGTTGCAGAAATCGTATAGGCGGAACCATCAATCACCTGACGAATCAAGTAAGAGCTAAGTTCACAACTTTATCAATAAGATTTTCACACTTATTTTGTCTTCAGACATTGTCAGGAAATCCTCATGAATGAACTTCATGGATTATATTGTAATAACAACACAATTTAGTTCCAGCCATAATTTAAATGACTTTGGAATTTTGTGATTAGACACAATCTGTGCTGCTATCAATTAATGACACTCATGCAACTGAAACCTGTACAAGGGCAACTTAAAATACACAGAGGCCGATTTGATTCTTTTTGTGAAAACTACTTGGAGCTGCTGATCAGATCAATATTTCACTTTAATTATTCATCAATTTAGGTACAAAAAAGTGACTGAAACTAAAAACCGTTGAGCTGCGCCTGCTACAATCAGGGTGTGGTTTTCTTTTCAGACTTATGACCACACAACACAACACAACACAACACAACACAACACAACACAACACACCACACCACACCACACCACTACACTACACACCACTACACTACACAACACAACACAACACAACACAACACAACACAATACAACCACACCACAAGAGCTTTAACAGCAGTCTAAAACTCAGAGCAGCAGTGGGGCAATGTCTGACTGCAGGAGCTCCTTTCAGAAAACTGTCCTGCTCTAAGCACCTTAGCCGTGTTACATCTGTCTCTGGCTGGTACCAGCAGGAACTGGACCAACTGCGTTGGATCTTAGAGATCTAACTTTTCTGATGAGAAAAAGACAAAACCCATTAGCCTGCTCATGTGTGTGTATTTCAGTTGCTCCAGCTCTGTCACTGACTTTAGCTGTGCTGCCAAAGAAATGGGAAACGGTGGGTTTGAGTGATTGTACTGTGATAATGTTTGTCACAACTTTTCTTTTCAGTACTGTAAAGACATGACTCATGTATGCTTGTGCAAAAAGTGTGGGAAAAAAATCTGAGACAATGTAGAACAGAGGTACAAATTGTACAGATTGTCCACAGTAGAAAAGTGTGTTTGTAGGTGGGACATGTTGTACACTGGGTTTGGGAGAGTGACGTCTATTATTGGCCTGATAACTGAGCAGAGGAAAGTAAACATGGGCAGACTCGATCAAATGAGGAACTAGAATGTTTATCAGGCAGTTGATATATCAGGCAGTTCACACACAGTCAATTGTGGCAGCATGCATATACAGAAGCTAGTACATCATGTCCTGAACATCCATGGACAGCTGAGCAGGGGGCTAAAACATGCCGGTGTGATGAGCCTTGATGCCTTGTAGCAGGCAGAGGCATACAACTGCTTTCACTTGAAGTAAGATTTTGCCACAGGTATTAAGTTTCATAAAAATGGTTTCCAACTGTAGGCCCTACTTCAGCATTTAATCAGCATAATGTCACCACAACAACCACAACAGTCACACGGATACAGCAAAACAAAGCCCCTTGGTGCCAGTTCTCGTTTAACCCCACGGCCGCTGCAGTAGACCTGGCCCCCGCCACAATAACTCGACCCCCCTGACAAGATGAAACCACTACAGATATCGTTACCTCTTCAAATGCTTCTCCAGTTTCCAGAAGAGCAGCTTTAGGGCCTCTGTGTTCCTGCCCTGCACTCCTCCTGCCCCGGCCAGCCACTTCTCTCTCATTGTTGCCCACCCCACCAAAAAGCACCCCAAAACAAACACAACAACAACCACCTCTGTCCTTCTGACCTGCGCCCTTTGGCCCAAACCCACTGCTCCCCTCCGCTTTGTGAGCTTCACATAGGGGAGCCTGACCAACAATGGAGACCAGGATGGAGCTGTGTGTAGGACAGGGATGGGAGTGGGAGTGCGTGTGCATACAGCGGGAGCGCGCCTTACAGTGTTAAGTCCTCCTGATTGCCCCCTTGCTAAGCCTGAATCGCTGATACACTCTCTGACGATTGGGCGCATTGGTGATGGCCGATAGGTAGTGATGTCACTGCATAAGGCGTCATGTCACCTCCCCTTCTGTTGTTATGTAAACTGTCAGCAGAGATTAGGGCGATCCATCCAATAGGATGAGCTACTTTTGACCACACACCGTTATCACGCTCTAGGCTCGTCAATAAGCCCCTCCTTCATTCATTTCCTCAACACCCTATCAGTGATGGTGACTACTCTACATCTCCCTGTATCACTTGAAGAGCGGATCCCTGAATATCACACCAAACATTCACCTCCTCCTTATCTCTAGGAAGATGTGCATGTTGTAGAAGGTATGCCTTTAGATGGCCCTGTCACTGCACATCAGTGGATGCTCACTGGACACACACATACACACAGTATGGGTCTAAAGTGGAGCACGCCTGTACCTCCATTGTTGCTCCCACGCAGGCGTGCACACAGTCGATACTACAGTCGAAACAAAGTCAAAATAAAACGGTGGCTCAAAGAGCTGATGGTGAGCAACAAAAATAAGAAAAGAAAACTCAAAAGATGTAATAACACTGTATTTTAAGAGTGAAATAAAAATTGCTGATGAGTAGTGGAACTGTCGAGAACAAATAGGAGGTCAGCCAGCATGGAGCTACTTGTGGGGGACAAAATGGCGGCAAGGGGTATGCATGGTCAGCTTGTTTGTGGGTTTTCAGTTCAATGCATGCAGTGAAATTATTAACCTCATTAGTTGAAGGTCACGACTTCTTCTCTTCCCTCAACTATGTGCCGCTAATCGAAGAAACAATCTAGAGCCTGAGACAGGCGCAGCGAGGCGCTGAGGATTTCTATAACAAAAACACTTCTCGTTTGAAGCCACAACTCGTCGCACTGTATATCTGTACAATGTGTACTTGCAGGTCTGGGGTTGGGGGGGGGCTTAGTGTGCGCATGCCCCCTTAGAACAAAAGAGTTGAAACTGGTCGGAAGGAAGCGCTCGCTTATGTGGAGACAGTTTGCCTGCAGCCATTCGCTAACAACGCAGCCAACCCGGCTCGGCCAATGGCGAGAGACATTGAGATGACTGCATCACAGATGGGATGCTCTCATTCATTATTTATCTTTGTCCATCCAAAGCTTGTTTGTGTGACATGTACAAAGGGCTGACCCATATATTACCTAACTCACATAATGTATATCAATACTACGCTTACTATACTATGAAGAAGTTGGAGGAGTATGATGAGAAATGTGCTTTCAGGAAAAATAGAGATGAATAAGACTTTGAAACCTAACATTGTCTTATTTACTATAGCTGACATTACGGATGTTCTACCAGCATGATGTTCTTTGCCAATTAGACTTTGTTAGTTAGCTTTCCAACTTGACCGACCAGTATAAATCAAATATATAAAATAACCCCATATGCCTCCCTAAAGCCTTTAACTGTGTACATGACGTGCATCAATTTCACCATCACAAAACTCAACCAAACCCATACAAATTGTTTTTTTACTCCAATGACTTCATCCTCTACCTTCATAAAAACATCATAAACATATCTACACAGGAAAGAAAGTCGTGGTGGAGATTATAAAAGGGCGGATGTGTAGCGACAGAGGGGCAGTACACGATGTGGATGTGGACAAAGCAAACGAACAGATGGTGCTTGCATTGCCCACACTGTTAAAAATATAACAT